GACCCGTGAACGAGCGTAGCTGCATCTTGGACGGTCTCAGCTTCAGTCCCGGGATGCTGCCGTCCGCCACGATCGACACTGGTGACCCGGTGTCAACCAGCATCTCAGTCTCCCGGCCGTTGACAGACAGAGTTACCAGTGGCAGCCGGTCCTGGCTCGTCAGCTGCGCCACCGTCATCACGACATCCTCCTCCACGGACGCCACCTGTCCGATTCCTGGACAGTCCCGCTTCAGGTGTCCAGTTCTGCCACATTTGAAGCACCTCCTCTTCTCGAGCGGTCCGCCGCGTCTGCTGTCTCGCCGACCGCCGTCTGCCGGGCCGGGCGGGCGAGACACTCCGCGCTGCTGCACCGCTCCTGCCGCCGGAGGGTGCGCCCTCTCCGGCGCCGAGTCCGCCCTGGCCGTCGGACAGTCCCGCCACCAGTGTCCCCGGCCTCCGCAGCCGAAGCACGAGCCCGGTCCCGGGCGCTCGGCCGGCCTGGCCGTCTCCGCCCGCCGCTGGCGTCTCACCACCTGGACTGCCTCCCCGTCCGTCGCAGCCGGCACCGGCGCCCCTGACAACCGAGTCGTCAGGTCCATGACGTCCCGGTGGGCGCGTGCCGTCCGCCGGACCTCCTCCAGGTTGAGTTCGTCGCCCTTCAGCGCCGCTTCCCTCACCAGCTTCCGCTGCAGCTCGCCTCGGCTGCCCAGGACGCAGCGGTCTCGCAGCTCCCGGTTCACCTGCGCCGGCTCGTAGCCGCAGCGCAGGATTTGGGTCCGTAGCCTGGCCAGGAACTCTTCCAGGCTTTCCTCTGGCTCCATTGTCATTCCTTGGAATTTCCCTCGTTCAGCCACGACATTATTCCTTGGCACCAGGTACCGTACCAACTTCCTTTTTAGCCGGGTGAACTCGTCTTCCTCCGGTCCTTCTGCCTCCTCTTCCGGCAGGGAGTCGCTGACATCGGCTATGTCAGGCCCCACCAGGTGTAGCAGCACGGCGCACCGTCTGGTAGGCCCTTGGATGTCCATGGCGACCATGTAGCGCTCCAAAGCTCGCAGCCATTTCTCGAAGTCCGTGCCTGCCCGGTACGGCCCCGCAGACACCAGCTGCATGCCCGTTGGATCCATCGCGCTGCCGTGCTCTCACCAGCGCGTCGTTCCTCCGGCCGGCCCGCCGCCGCTCCACCGGTCGGCCCGCCGCCGCTCCACCGGTCGGCCCGCCGCCGCTCCACCGGTCGGCCCGCCGCCGCTCCACCGGTCGGCCCGCCGCCGCTCCACCGGTCGGCCCGCCGCCGCTCCACCGGTCGGCCCGCCGCCGCTCCACCGGTCGGCCCGCCGCCGCTCCTCCGGCCGGCCCGCCGCCGCTCCACCGGTCGGCCCGCCGCCGCTCCTTCGGCCGGCCCGCCGCCGCTCCACCGGTCGGCCCGCCGCCGCTCCTCCGGTCGGCCCGCCGCCGCTCCTCCGGCCGGCCCGCCGCCGCTCCTCCGGCCGGCCCGCCGCCGCTCCTCCGGCCGGCCCGCCGCCGCTCCACCGGTCGGCCCGCCGCCGCTTCACCGTCGGCTCGCTCCGGGCGTCACCGCTCACACCGGCTGGTCACCGCACAAGCCGGCCGGTCACCGCACACGCCGGTCGGCCACCGCTCACGCCGGTCGGCCACCGCTCACGCCAACCGTCACCGCTCACCGCGCCGCCCTGCGCCCGTCTTGGCGCTGCCGGCTGCGGTTTCCCGCGCTTTACTCGACGGGGGAGTCACGTGGTAGTGACGTCACACGCACGTCACCGCGCGCGCGCATGCGCACTCGTCCCGAACCGCCCGGCCGCGCGCCAGCTTCCCGCCGAAATTATCCGCTTGGGGACCAGGCACCTCAAACCGCATTGAGGCCCTCCCCGCCGCACCAATCGGCCAATCACACGCGCTGCCACAGCTGCGCGTCACCCCCGGCCGACCAATCAGCGTGCAGCACGCCGACGCATGCGCCACGCACACCACACTGCCGAGGCATCATGGCCGCCACAAATGGCGATCACATGGAAATCCTGCCACGACCACGGCCGCCGCGCGACAGACAGACTACCAGCAGCAGCGCGAAAATAAAAATACTAAGCAATACTAAGCACTAAGCATTCGTACTAAGCAACGCTTGCGCCCTCACCGTCCGTGGCCTGTCCGCCCTCGCTGACCACCGCGCACTGATCACCGGTCCGTTTCGCCATCACTCGCAATCACAGCTCCAAGGCTTCACCTTGATCTGATCCTCGTCGCCAATTTGATATAATGTGAGTTCTTTATTCCGCGTCTGCGATTGCGCGCCCACTTGGCGCACAGCCAAGCAAAACACATCCGCGCCCTGCGCGGGCCGGCGGCCGACTGCCGCACAACCGGCGACCGGTTTCCACCTAGCGGTCGCTAACTGAACTACGCGTAGCCCGGCTCACGATACAGCACCTTTAAAACCCTACATGGGCGGTTCTGAGGGCCATTGTCAGTTACCAGCGACCCTGACGGCTGACACAGGTGACTCGGAGGGTCCCAGCGGCGTCTGAGCGCACCATGCCAGTCTCTGAGAACCCCACAAGGCTCCTGAAGGCACCGGTGACCTCTTGATATCTTTTTGTCGGCCTATGAAGGGTCCGTTCCGTAACAGCAGTTCTGAGGGCCCCACGCGCGCCTGTGATGGCCCTAAACCAGTGTCTCTGAGAGCCCCCACAACGGCGCCTGTGAGGGCCGTCACCGGCGACTGCGAAGCCCCCACACCGGCGCCTCCAGTCCGAGGGCCCCACATTGCCATATCTGAGGGCCCCACACTAGTGCCTCTTAAGGCCCTATATCGGCGGCTCTGAGGGCCCAGCATCGTAGCTTCTGAAGGCCCCACTAGTGCGCATGTGACGGCCACCCTGCCACCGGTGACATTTGAAGGCCCCACACCGGCGACTCTGAGGGCCCCATCGGCGTCTGAGTCCGTTCCGGTCTCTAAAGACGACTCCACAGGATTTCTGAAGGTACCACCGGCCTCTGATGGCCCTTTGCCGGCCCCTGAGGGCCCGTCGCCGGTCTCTGGAGCCCCCTGCCGGCTTGTAAAGGGTACGCACCAGCAGCTCTAAGAGTCCGACACCCGTGTACGACGGACCCACACAAGTGTCTTTGCAATTTAACGTCTTTTTTCGCCCTTCTTCTTAAAACTAACTTTTCTTTTCTTTACATCTTTATTTCATGCCTTGTAAATTGCGTAATTGTTTTATTTTTTTGTAGTGAAAGACTGCAGAACAATTATTTTCCTCAAGCAGAGTTAGTGGGAGTTATTGAGGGACAAAATCATTGGGGGTGCCCGGAAAACCATTGGGGGTGCTCATTTGAGCATTGGGGGTGCTGCAGCACCCCCAAAAGTATACAAATCGACACCCATGCTAAAGAGTGTTTTGCCGGAATCGTTTAGTAGCAGAACTGACCGGAATATAAGTAGAATGCAACGGTTTGAATCGTTAATTTGTTGAAACGATTGTTCTCTGAGGAGACCACTGTGTAACTTTTGACCTGAGAATCACCAATTATAACGACAATGGTGGAAGCAGTACGCACTGTAGAGTGTAGGCAGCACTATATAGTTGGCACACTTACGCAAGCACACGACTTACGCAGTGGACATCTGCATCATGCATGTTAAGGTTTACTGGGAAGAGTGAGAAATTAGTCAGAATATAACTGACTAAGGAAAATAGGCGATATTTCCAATTGAGCTGGGGCGGAGAGGGGGAGGGGACGTATGGTCAGCTATGCCAATAATTCATTCTCGTTATGCAGCTGTGTAAAAGGGCGTCCGTTTTTTGGGTGAGACCTTCCCCATTGGCCATTTCCAAGCTAAATCGTGGTGGAGAGTCTGGAGACCTCAGCCTCGGTAGTCGGTACCCTGCGCGCTGCGCCACCTTGCGAAACATAAAGCAACAGTCCTGACATCTACAGGCGTTACTTTTCATGAAAGCGCGGATGTGTTCGCGCTTATGCGAAGAAAATTCTTCCGAGTATGGTTGATAATGAGATTAATTGTTGTCATTTATTTATTAATTCATTGGCAAAAGTACCCTAATAAATCGGTAAAGTAGCTTAAACTGTATCGTATTTCCTTGGGAAAAAATGACGAACTCATCCTAAGACATCCAGATTATTGGATGCGTTCGTCAGTTGTAAGTAGTTCAAGTTTTTGGAAAAATTTGCATGTGGAAAATCATAATATTTCAAAGATATGCCTATTTTCGAATAATTTATGCATTTATCAGCATTGAAAAATGATTGTAAAGCAAAAGTGCAAAAGATTATTGACAACTTATTTTCTCAAATCACAATTTACGAACGCACAAAACTCCAGCTTTTAATTTAGTGCGTGTGCGAATTGCGGTCAAGAAAAAAGATTTAAACTGTCTATATTCCTCTTGAAACAATGAAGAATGAATGAGAAAAACGTTGTTTTGAACAATTGTATATTTATTTTTTCTCAATTAAGCAAAAGTACAAAATTTTCAACTATTATTACATTTGCTCTCACAAAACCCATCACTTTTAAGCATGACGTCATGTCAGCCAAACTTACTAGCGCCATCTCTGGAGAGCATCTTTCGAAACCTCCAGACGATAGAGAGAGCCGCAATCAGGAGCTCAAAATCTATAAGCTGTGCAATTTTGAGCCAAATCTGAGGGGTCCGCGAATGTGCACGCGAATCTGAATGTGAATATAATGCAACTTTATGCACGTGTTTTCACCGGCGTCCGATTTTTCCATTTGAATTCAAATCACTGTGCCGAAATCGAAGCTGAGGATTTGGTGTGGGGTTTTATGGTCATTCTGTCGTGATATTAAAAGTAAGCAATAGTTTTCTGTTTCCTTCAGACTTGAGTCAGATTCAGACGCCATTTTAGCTGCAAACATAGGTATAAGCACAGTGTATATAAATATAAGGGATGCCGTATAAGGGGGTATAAGACATAAGTGCATAACAAATAACAATCAGTGGCGGCGGAACACCTTCAATGAAGGGGGTGCACTGCCGACTTTTAGTCCCTTTCTTTCCATGCAACACCCATAGGGCTAACATTAAAATGCCAAAGTCAAAGGGGGGCATCAGGCATGGTGCCTTGCCCTGGTGCCCCCCCCCCCCCCATTCTGCCACCTATGATAGGTAACAATGGCAATTTCCTTGAAAAGGCATTTCAGTTTCCAGTTGTGTTGGATGCATGATCTGTAACACCTATAACTTAGTTATTAAAACTAGCAACAGGCATAGTATTATGTCCACATGGAAGCTTCAGTAATGTTTTTTTTTTAAAATAAAATTGAGAGCATCATTTTCTAGATGAAAGAACTATATCACAAATTATCTGACTGAAGCATTTATCCCAGTTCTGTTCTATATTCAGAACTGATCAAATTTCAATTTTGGCTGTTTATTTTCAATTGTTTGATTTAATGTTGACCATAAAATCACAATTATCAAAAATACAAAGGAAATGTCTATTGGTGAAAAATGATATTTTACCTTTAACTCTGCAATCATTTACTGAACACTGATCTGATTGTGTCCATTGCAATGCTTCCTATCAGGTAACCAGCAGCTTGTGGATGATGATTTAATATAGCTCACACTATCACTTCAATGGTAGGTGTGTCCCATACTGGCTATTTATTTTTAAGTGCACATGAATGCATAGTACTTACATCATCCTGATTTAAACATAACATAACATGTATTCCATGTAACAGCAGGCCACTTGGGCCCAACGAGGTTACAGGTAGATGAACAAACACTGTATGTAAAACACGGTACAATTACACCATTTCATCGAACACTAGCCCACGCTGTTTATGATACAAGTCTAACTCATTTTTAAAATTACTTAAGGAGGAACTATTGATAACTCTAGGAGGTAAACCGTTCCAAGCTTCTATGACCCTACTGGTAAAAAAGGACTGTCTTAACTTGGTTCTGGAAAATTTCTTTACTAGTTTGCACCCATTTCCTCTCGTGGAATTTGTATTGAGTGTAAACATCTTCCCAAAATCTAACTTATCAATCCCTTTGTATATTTTAAAAAGTTCAATCAAATCCCCTCTTATCCTGCGGTAATGAAGTGAAAACATATTTAAGGAAGCCAGGCGTTCTCTGTAGCTCATTTCACCCAGCCCACGAACCATCTTTGTTGCCCTCCTCTGCACACGCTCCAAAAGTTTTATATCCTTTTTTAGAGACGAGTGGCATGCTTGTGCACAGTATTCAAGATGAGGCCGAACTAATGAACAATAGAGTCTTTTCATTACTTCTTTACTTTTATATGATACATCTTTATTTATAACCCCCAACATTTTTAAAGCCTTTTTTCGAGCTTGCACATAATGGCCACTGAACTTCAGATCATTTGTCACCAAAACACCCAGGTCCTTTTCTTCCCTCACAGTTGCCAACTTAGTTCCATTCAAATAATATGTATCGTTACTTTTTACTCCCAGATGAAGAACTTTGCATTTATCAGCATTAAATTCCATCTGCCATTCCTTGCTCCATTTTAAAAGAGCATCTAAGTCTGCCTGTAGTGCTCTTCTATCGTCATCTGAAGTAATATTTTTAGCTATCTTGATATCATCCGCGAATTTCCATATGTTACTTGTTAAGTCAGAGTCTATAAGATCTACAAAAATAATGAAAAGCAATGGTGCTAAAACAGTTCCCTGAGGCACACCACTCTTGACAGCTTTCCAGTCAGCTTGATGGCCATTTAGAATGACTCGCTGCCTGCGACCTACTAGCCAGGCCCCTATCCATTTGAGAAGAGGACCGTCTAAACCATGACGCTCTAATGTGATCAAGAGTCTTTTGTGTGGAACTTTATCGAATGCCTTGCTGAAGTCTAAATAAACTTGGACAGAAGAAGGTATTGCTTAAGTATGCAGGCTAAAAGAACATACGCAAATATTCATATTGCAGTAGTTTGCAGGCAGTCAAGTAGTACGGACAAAAGATCGCTAAAAAAGTAACCTAACCTGACTTTATCTAACTAGACCTAACCCATCCTAACCTTATCTAACTTAACCAAACCTAGCCTAACCCTTGGCCTAACCCAACCTAACCTAGCCTTTACTTTTTTGATCATGCTTCCTTTTTACCGGTATAGCCGGTCCCGTAGCTCAGTTGGTAGAGCGTTGGACTCCGCATAGTGAGAGCACGCGTTCCCCGGGTTCGAAGCGCGACGGGCGCTCGACATTTATGGGCCTCCTGACAGGTATGGCTGCGGTTGGTGGCAGGCCGTAGCCAGGCGAAGTCAGTGAGGGGACCGGCCGTGCGCGGCTATGTGCGCACGTTAAACTTTGGACTCTAAATTCTGCCATAGAACCGGAATTGCGCGATCGAAGGGTAGAGGGCAGGGTCACCGCAACAAGCTTCGCTTAGCGGTGGTTCTGTCCTTGTGAATCCTTCCTATCAAAAGGTTCGGACTAAATTTATAAAAAAAAAGATTATATTGTACCATCATTTGCGATGCATACTTTTGTCCTACGTACATTTATTTTGCCGTGCATTCACCATACGAACACTCGCGTTACGTATTTTTGTCCGTGACCCTATTTCCCTATCCAGTCTCCCCTTCCAAAATCCATGAAGCTGCCTTACAACAGCGTCGTCAAACGCAGTCGGTCTTTCAGCCAGATGGCAGGACTGGCGTCACGAGCTATGTCCTAGGTGTCACTTGTATCTTACTCAGATTCTGTGTTGAGACTAGTGATGTCAATTACGGAAAATCGTGATACCGATACCAAACCAAATACCAACAAAATCCATGAAGAAATACCGAAACCGAACCGACTTGGGAATATGAGGAAAATACCAACTTTTTACCAAATTTTCAGCCTCTTTTACATAAGTGAGGATTCATAATACCGACAAAATACCAAATGCACTCGCCTTGAAATACCAAATACCAAATTGGTATCGGTTTGGTATCGGTGTACCAAACATTTGGTTCCGATTGACATCTCTAGTTGAGACTGAGTGTTGTTTTCAGTCCGATACGCTGCGCGTTTTTCCTCCTTTATGCTCCGACATTATAAGGGGTGATCGGTAATGTTATACCTTTTTCAGAGTAGATATTTCTTTCAGCTTATGTTTGTAATGGCCAAATGTCCATTTTCCGCCTAAAATGGATTATTTTTCAACATGCCGTGGGGAAGTATTTTTGGGGCTGAGTTCAAAGTTTAATATTGGGGAAGGACATTAACCCTAAGCGAATATCGAATGTGATTCGGCACCCTACGGCCTACCCCGCACTGGTCGTTGAGTAAAATTGCTCATCTCATTGCCTCCACTTTCGTGGCTGTGTCCTCTCCCTCTCCTTTTCGGACTTCCGGTCGTCTCTCGCCAGCGGTGCCCATTCCGCCGCTCCCCTCCTCTCCCCGCCGACCCCTCTCGCCATGGGTGTCACCGGAAGGGCTATTCGGGAAGCTGCTGCCGCGTTCGCGCGGTCCCGTGACGGTGCGCGGGTCGTCGCCGGCAGGCGGCAGCACCGCCGGTCCGGGCGGCCGGCGCCGGTCCGCCAGTGTAACCGGCCGCGCTCTGCCGGCAGGATGGAGGTCTCTGAGCCGACCAACCACGCGGCGGCGGCCGCTGAGCGAGCCGAGCACCACGTCCACTTCAGCGAGACGGGCGAGGACGGCGACCAGCTGGAGCCCGTCCACAAGGTGGACGTGTGTGTGGAGGAGGACAAGATCGCCATCCACGCCGGCTTCCTGAAGGCGCTGCACCAGTACCGGGTGACGTGCCGCGTGCCGGTGCGCTGTCACGGCTGGACACCGACCGACATACCCAGTCTGCACTGGCGCGTGCAGACCACTCACGAGCTGCCCGACGGCGGCACCGAGCTGACGCTGCACGTGGTCGCCAGGAAGGAGAAACTGCTCAAGGAGAAGCTGGTGCTGACGGCGCCCGATGGCTCCGACTCGGTCACACTGGAGCTTAACGCCCGAGTTCTCGGTGAGTAGCTCGCGGTGACGACGGAGAGCTGTCGCCAACTGTGGGAGGGGAGTGGTCATTGTCCATTTGCATGCCTTAAAATATTTGGTCAGTGTTGCTTAGTGTTTGTGCTTAGGTATCGAACATCTCTTCTTTTCATCGTGGACTTTTCATAAATAGATGATAGTACACCCGATGCACAATGTTTCAGTATCTGTCGTCAACTATGGTGGTGTTTTATTGAAGGCTGGGTGGATTGTTGCAGGACATCGGTTTGGGGAAATTGGTGCATTTGTTATCTATTTTAAGTGCCTTATTTCCCCCATGTGTTTGGATGCAATTATCTCGTTCGATTGACCCGGGGCTCCCTGGGGTTGCCCTGGTGGCATTGTTATTCCCAATCCATATGCAGTAGAGAAGAAATGCAATGCAATTGAGACTAAAGCGGCCTTGGTGTGCCCTAAAGCTGCATTGGTTTATCGCGGGATGCTGCCAACCGGAACGGCGCTCTTTGTGAAAAATGGGCGCGTTTGTTATGCGTTCTAAGCTGGCGTCATGCGCTGCTTTTAATTAATCGGATGATATCAGTCATTTTAAACCGCTTTTTATAAATTTGGTCTGAACCTTTTGAATGGAAGGATTCACAGTGGCAGAGCCCCCGCTAAATAGAGCTTAGCGTCCATGATGTGATTAGGTACCGCTTTGTTGCCGTAATCACACCTTTGTTTGAGTAATGTTGCATGCACCAGACCCGGTTGCAATGAAACCAAAGTGCGGTGGCGTTAGTACCCGCCGGTATTCTGCAGCGAACAGAGTCTGGTCCGCACTCTGTTCGGCTTGTGCCGTACCGAGAGCTGCGGCCGTCACCCCCGCTCCCAGTCTCCACGGGGTATTACGGACACATCTGTCCGACACTGGCCGTCCGCTGCCGATCGGGCCGATTGGAGTGGGCCACCCGGCCTGCCAGTCAGTGGCCCGGCGCTGGCACGTCTTCCCACACAGCGACAGCGCTCACCCCGCTCCCAGACGCTGATCGGCATTCAACGGGCGTCCCCGCCGCCTGCTGAGCGCGCCCGGCGCAATCATCTCCCGGCAAATATGGTGTGGCTAACGCCGGCCGGACGGCCACCTGTTGCTGTGTCCAATGGCCCCCGCCCCGGCATACGTAGTGGCAGGCAGACCATGTTTTGCCTGGTTTCAATCAGCACGTCATGTATTTTCTTAGTCGAGTCAACATGATTGATGGTCCGCAGTAGAGTGCAACTGCTGTCACCTGTTGACATCACCAGCCCATTACGCTAATGACCTAGCGAGCGGTGTGGTCAGGCTGAAGTGTCCCTGACCCACCCGTCGTGCGGGCTGACACGCCGTTACCGCTGTGCTCGGTCCATGCACCGCCGTGTGTCTGGCTGGCCTTTACAGCGAGCAGTGACGGCCAACGATCCGACCGAGCAGCCGCCCGACAGGCATTTCCTCGGCCAGACAGGAAAATCTCTCACTTGCGTCGCCGGAGTTGCCCAGCCGGCAGCTGAGCGCTGGGGAATGTCGGGTCCAGTTCTGTCTCGCGTTGGAGTTCGGGGCCATGCTGTCCGTCCTACCGGTTGCTGTTCATTCCTCCTGAAGTTGCCTGTCAGAGAATGTCGTGTCCGGTTGGATTGTAGCGCTGTTAAAACGTCGGTGTTTTCCGGCTCATTGTCCCCGGGCGCTGAGTCAGCTGTCATCCGGTGGATTGGCTCACTTCGCGTGCAGTTAAAACGTCAAACTTTCAGCAGTGAGTTGTATGGCACATCGGCCGACCGTGGTGTCGATTTTTCCGCCATTGTGATGGCTCCCGTCAGCCCGTGATGTTTGCTCTGAGCACGTCGACCGTGACCACGATGGCCGGTCTCGGTCACTGTCGCCACGGCCGGCGATAGCGCGACGGTCGTTTATTTCTCCGCTCATCCGTATGTATTGATCGAGTTGGTATCTAACTGTCCGGGTGGCAGCCGAGCCATTGACCCCTGCCACACTGCTAGATGCGGCCGTTTAGAGAGAGGGTGTTTGTGGCCCGGCCGTCTGGCCCTCAGCCAAACAGGATCTGTTTAGTAGGGGCATCAGCCGGTCAGAATCACCCGCTGTTTAGATACATGGTGCCGATTTATTGGCAGCTAAAGGGAGATTCGACATAATCTGGCGGCGAATTCACAGCTGTGTTGCGGGAGAGATGAGGTGTCTGGAGGTGAGGTGATATGCCTCACGAAACGCCCGCTGTGTTAGTTTGCCGTCCCCACCGGGGAACTGTATTATCATCCGCCTGTCTTGTGCCGTGACGAATGGCTGAGGGAAGCACAAGACTATCCCGAGGGGGCAGTATGTTTGCCCTGAATGCCAGGTGTCGCGGAGCAGCTGCTCGCGCAGGCTGGAGGGCCTTGTCAGTTGGCTCCGCGCCGCGTTTGCTCGTGGCTGCATGTGTTTGTAGCACTCCTCAGACTCACAGGATGTAGCTCTTTTCGTGGATGCGATGTTGGATTGTTGTCAGTCGTTGATTTTTAACTGTATGATTTCGAGGAAGAAATTGCAAAATGATTGTCTCCTACGAGCTGTTCCAGATATGTCCTGTTCCCAGTAACGGGAAATATTTATTTCAGCTGCAAAGTTTGACACTTCCCGGGACTTGGCCACAAAATTATTTGTGGTTTAAAATGCTGGAGGCATTTGTAATAGCTTGGGTTGGCTATTTTAATTATATTTGTTGATAATCTGCTGGCGTTTTAGCATGCAAGTCATGCAACTAAGCTTTTCTATTTACTTCGATATACGGATCATGTCATTTTGATAGTTGAATTATGTGCTTAGAAATATAATCATTACGCAAACCGTTTTGTTTTTTAGCCATCAGATTCTCGAGGCAGGTTGATGACTATGCGATTGTTATTAAAGCTATTGTTGAACGGTTGAGATCCTGAGGTTGACGAGGGAAAAAACTGACGGCGTTGCTGATCGTCAGAAGGATAACGTCACTCCACGTTTCATTGCTGTCACTTGGCCGCCGGTCTGACTTGGCGAGGCAAATAGCTGGTGGCAACAGCGCCAACAGCGGACGTGTTTTAATGTTTGTGTATTGCAATATAAACCGTTCATCTTGTGGTGTAAAATGATCATTGTCTTGGCGAATAGTTAAAAGGGTGAGACCACTCCTGGAATTTGACAACATCCGGTAACCGAGACTTGGGCTTTGGAAGTCTCTCACCTTAGTAAGGCTTGCAGGGCGCCTTATAGTGGACTATAGTGATGCACAATTTCTGCCCCGCATCGCTTTTATATAGTTACTCTTACTTGTAAACCATGTGTTTAAACTCATGTGTATACTGCCGGTATGCGGGGTTCCGTGCTACACCTAGCCGACTGCTGCTGGCGCTGTGCGGTCACCTTGCACCGCAGGTGATCAGGTGACTTCCCATCCTCATCTGACCCGTGTCTGTCTCCCGGGTCATAAAGTGCGGACGTGACCGCCGGCCGGCCGTCGTAGCACCTGTCCGCTGATCGCGGACTGTCCAGACGGGCCCGTCCCCGTCCGATGGTGGGACAGACAGGTCGTCTTATCACCCTGTCTCACAGCCGTCATTTGCGAGCGGTGCGGTGTGTTGCAGCGGGTCGGAGCCCGCCCTTGCCGGGAATACCGGCTCTCCCTGCTCCTCTGTTTTGAGGAGCCGCTGATATGCAGTGTAGTGGGCGGAGGCGTACCGTCTGAGGACTCACCCGTGACGCTCGGCTAACGCCGCACCTGGCTGTTGTGTGAAGCGATAGCGGAGGTGTAGAATGCTCCGGTGACGAGAGAACAAACACGGACAGGTGAAAGGTGCTGCTCGCATGGTTGCACAGTCTTATCTTATCGTCTCGGAATTTTGTGGGCAACCACAAAGGTCTTGTTGTGAGCCATCGATAAGAGACAAAGCAAGAGGTGCAAAATTTCCAGAGTTCTGCAGCCCAGCTGTGGGCTTGCGCTTGAAAGTGTGCTGTGCTTAGCTCGGAAAATACCGCGCCTGGCCTGGAGTCGAGCAGGATATCGTGCAGCGAAGCTCATCCTCACTCGCGTCATTACTTACGTAATTACTTTGCCCCCACTGATCCCGCATAAGCTAGGCCTGCCTGAACTCCAGCCACATCATAGCCGTGCCGTGCCTGGCTTGGAGACCGGCGTCGGGCGCGACAAGACCTAAACATTTGCAACCGGAGTAGCGTCCCGGCAGCCCATGTGGTCTGGTCGTAAGAGCGTCACAAACATACGTAGTGAGAATGGAGAGGACTGGGGCCATTTCACTGATCCTTACGACCCGTTCTGTGGCAGAAGTGCGCTATTCGCCACGGTTGGCGTGACGTCATGAAGCAACAGCGGCAGCGGCTCTGAGTCGGTCTGAGCGGTCATATAGAACACTGAAGTACATTATTCAGCGGTCATATAGACCACTCAAGCTAAAAATATAACGTCGAGCCACTGAAGTGGTATTATTGGCCACCGGTTGGAGCTGTAGTGTCAGACCAGGCGTGATATCGTGTTGATGTTCGCCTTTGTTGATCAACTATTTTGCCATAGATGAGTTATATTTTACGGATATTTTTCGTTTTATTTTCGCTATCTTGCCTCGGGCCTAATGGAACTTTGCCGTTCCATCTTTCTTGCCTGTCTGCATACAAAAGTCAGCTTATTTTGTCTCATGTGAAGTGGGATTGTTGAAAAAGGTTGTTCTCTCGTATAATTCTTCACTTCCAACAACAGTGGTGACATTTTCATACTTAGTATTCACCTTTGGAGACCTCTGAATCACCCAGAGATATAACGGCTGTCAGAAATGCAAGGCAGCTGGAGCTCTGCCAGACTGATGGCCCGGTAACACCGCATATAAGCCGTGCTCGTCTCTCCCTGATGCGTCCATATGGGGACCAGCAGGTGCGGCTGTCCGGAGTTGTATGGTCGCTGCCATAAAGCCCCGGCACTGCCCCGGCCATCAATCATGGGTGCCGATCGGCCGCGTGCGCCGCGCGTCTGGGGACCACGGGGACCAGATGGTTCCAGTGGGCGGGGAGAGGCCAGAGACCGCTGCACCGTGTCACCATGCACCCCCCCCCCCCGCGTTGGGCTGTTTGGAATTCCTTCATCGCGTGCCGGCTGTCTGCCGTGTGCGGGCCACGCCGCTGAGGGCGGCCACTGTTCGACTCCAGACCGCCGCCGGGTGTGCCTGCTGTCTCGCCGCTCTGTGGGGTCTGTTATGATGCAGCCCAGCCTGCGCCGGGGGCGGGGGCGGAGGTGGCCGATCAGTGCCCCCCCCCCCCCCCGGGGCGGGGCGGGGGCTGTCGCTCTGTCCCGACACGGATGTGAGACATCGCCAGCCACTGACGCGCCTCATTGGTCGCTCCGCGGAACTGGTCTGGGAGCCGCCGGCGGGCGGAACGGCCGTCAGCTTGATGGCAGCTCTATAGGCTGTGTGATTGAACAGATGCCGCCCGGCTGAGTTATACAGTATCGCACCATAGCAGACGGCGGCCCTCCTGCATCGCGATAGGATAGGCCGTCATTCGGTAAACAGGCGGCAGTGGCGGCAGATATGTTTTTGCTCATTTCTGAAACCCGAAAAAATAGGAGACATTTTAACATCCGCGGGGATCCGGGCTGAGATATCGTGATGTCGAGCACACCGATCTGTTGTCATTGTGTCTTATCGCGGCGGCAGTGCAAACACCGGTAAAAACCGTAATCAGCGCGGGCCCGGTCAATATCTGGTTGGGCTTAAAATCAGACCTTCGTACCATAAGGCTTGCACAGTGTGCTTCATTTGTCCCTAAAATTGGGCTCTAAATAGGTTTTGACAATGCCAGATTTTATACGAATCTCTTCTTAAGTGATCCCTTCGAATAATCTCATCCATCCTATCTCATCCTATCATCGGTTTAAACTTGTTTTCAAATAGGTTAAACCTCTTTCAAAAGTCGAAGAATCATTATGAAACATTAGGTTTTGAAATTGATAGAAATATGTTTGATTTGGAAAAATGATGATTGATGAAGCTTATGTGAAATGTGGATATATCAATATGTCATTTTCTGAAATAAAAACATTCATTTTTCCGGGGGCCAGTGCACATTACAAGTCCCATTACAAATCTGGATGTTGCAGCTTCCCAACAATATCACTTCACACTGATATTTGCCATCAGGGATGATGAAACATCTTCGCACGAAAGCTGCGCTGAAGCCTGAAGGAAATAAGGCAAAATTCTATGCGATATTAGAAAGGTGTTCGAACATTATATGCTTGATGGCCCTTTCCGTAGGACATCTGTCACATTCGACCTTGTCTAAGCCAATAAACATTCCAAATCCCTCTATGCCAGCTTATCAAGATTGTTCGGTTCCGTGGGCCATTTTTCAGGATGGGCTGGATGCCATTTTGCCCGGGGGCTGTCCCGCAGGTCATCCGTTTCCATGAGTCCATGTATTTCGTCTCCATTTCGACGGGAATGAGCCGTGCGCATGCTGACTGCGGAACGCTGCCCTCGTGGTGGTCTGTGTGCACTGTTTGATCTCAGTCCATGAGGGTTCTACGTCATTGCTATTGGCATGGAAAGTCCGTTCGGCACACGTCTTGCTCAACCAGCGAGCGTGTCAAATGTAACGTGTCGAAATGGTGCCTCTGCGGGCACTGCGTAGGCGTACAGGTCCAGATGGTGATTGTTATGCAAGGTTGAGAACCGTCTTGGCAGTCTCGCTAATGTTACACTTTGTAAACACTGCTGTGTTCTTGAACCTGGTAGGTATCGGCAATGATGTCAAATTATGTTGCGCCAATAGCGCCACATGGGTAGAACGACTGATTCTTATACCTATATCGTACAACTTTAAATATCGCGTATCCGTTGTTTCGATTTGGGAATATGGCCGAAATTAAAGAACATCGGTTCGATAAAAATGAACTTAGATTGGGTTTTCCTTCAGTACAGGTATCTCTTTGTCGGAAAATGTATATGTGAACGTCTGTCAAGTTGTCAGGTCATAGCAAGACCGCGCATTCCTGGTATGGGACTTAATCCGCTTCCACGCTACCTGATTTTAGCGGAGCTACTTTATTGCTGGTTTTTCTAGTGAGTCAGAGCAGCGGTGATTAGTGCGAGGAATTATCGTTCTTTGTTCGAGACGTTTTTGTTAGATACATGACTTAGATTGCGGGCGTCGGCCGTTGTTCACCTTCAGCAGGATGTGCAAACCGCGGATATCTCTGTTCATGCATGTGTGATTCAGGCAGCTCTGCTGTCTGTAGGTGGGAGATTTTACATACATAAACCGATGTCAGCCATGCGATGGTACTTACATTGCCCCTGCCACCTGGCAGCGTGGCTTCTTACTTGGATTCAATTGGTAACTACCTATATTTTGATTAGAAATCACATCCATGTCAGATACATTTGTAACGGTTCCCATTGAAAATGTGCTTAATTTAATATTATCTTTTCCCACTTTTTACATGGCAATACAAGAACGACCTAGTATTACCCGAAAATGTAAGAGCCATACCTACCCGAGTCAATTGTACCCAATAAAGACAAAAGTTTACGGCTCATAGGAAAAAAGAATGTGTTCCGGGAAGTTCAGCATTATGCTTTTAGAAACTTTTGCTGTTGAAACTTAATCAAAAGTCTCCTAGAAATGGTCATCAGCTCGGTTGCCCTCCATTTGTGAGAAGAAATCTCCAAGATAGGCCTACGGCGTGCAGACCACCGAGCTAAGGTACTGCTCGGTGACCAGAGAACCATCAATATTGCACTAAAACATGCCGAATAAAAACATATAAATGTGCCGATTGATAAGTCAATATTGCAATTTGAAATGGATGCTTTTTAGTCGCTGTCATTGGGCTCGTTTTTATAGTTGAACGAGTTAATCTCGATAAATAATGCATCTCTAAACGATAACCTGAAAAGCTCCTTGATATGAACCGTCACTGTGAATCTAGTCCAGTTTTTCCTTGTGTACGGGGCTGGCACGCTCGATATCGGCCGGATGCATCTTATCGGCACGGTCGATTGTGAACTTGAATTGACTCGGACACCATTCCGGTTCTGGGATTAGTCTGCACCGTAGGCCGCTCGGAGGGCACTCGGGGCGCCCGACCGGCCTGAAGATAGCAAAGACACTCAGCTGTAAGCCGTGCATTGTCAGAGAAATGACGGCTCCGGATATGCCACATTCCGTCCGGCTGCGGCCCAAGATATGTGACGCGTCTATTCTTAGTCGAAAATTGGGGAGCATTGTAACTTATTTATAGCGTCGGCCGCGTCGGCGGAATGGAATCTCACGTCGGCGAGGAATTTGTGAGGGTACTCTGATTGCTTGTCATAGCGCTTTAGTTCTGTCCATTGATTGCAATACTGACACTTGGTTTTCTTCTTCTGCAGGCAAAAATACGGGCACGCCGTTTTTACGAGACGGTGTCCATCTAGAAGGCGTAATAAAGGATGACGACGCGTCCGAGTCGTCCGACTGGCGCGGGTTTGACTGAGCGGCGCCGGCAGTGAGCAGTGCCGCTGCTCGTCGCTCGCTCTCAGGGCCGCTGCTGCGGTGCACGCCACCGCTGGGGCCGCTGCTGCGGTGCACGCCCGCCGTGCAGGGGCGAACCGGTCGGCGCGCCGCCGGCGCCAGGCGGACGGACAGAACGGTGCGCCGGTGCCGCGCGGCGCGCGGGACTGCTGACAGAGCTTGGACCTGGATCGACGGCCGGGCCGTGTGCGGACGCGAGTGTGACTGACCGATGTTGTACAGTGTGACCAGCGTGCCGTCTGCCGTGTGCGTGCTCGCCGTGCATTGAGTCGCTAGTTGTTAAGCCATTCCAGTACAAATGCACGCACTGTTCTGCCGCGCTCATATTATCTGTTGACCGTGTGCGGGCGGAGCGTGTAGCGGTGGGTGAGCTGGGACCAGTGTTCCCCTTCTCCGGGTCGCCGCCACTCGGCTGACGTAGGGCCGTGCCGTGGCCGCGCCTCCTGGCACGCCCTCGGCCTGCCGTGCCGGACAGTGGGCCGGTCTGACAGCCGGCTGGGCCGGGGCCTCGTGTCGGGCCGCGCCAGAGCGTCCCATCCCCGCCGTGAAGTGACGTCGCTCTTCCCGGCCGCACGCCAGCGACTGCCTAATAAACTGAGTTGGAGACGGTGCACGAGTTTACTGGGCAGAGCCGGACCTCGGGGGCGGGGGTGGGGTTACGATCCGAGTCCGCCGGTCGTCCTGGGAGCGCTCGTAGACGTGGCAAAGGCCGATTGGCCCGCCAGGAGGCCGGTCGCCGGCTGCCAGCGCCTCTGACGTCTGGCCTGTTTTGATAAGCATATTGAGCAAGTGTCGAGCGGCTGCCAGGCAGTCGTGCCTCGTGTCCGTCTGGGGGGCGGAGTGGGGAGGGGTGCCCCGGGCGGTGGTGATTCCACTAATGCTTGTGACGCCCGCCCCTGCCCCGCGTTGTATCCGTGCCAACATGACGGGCGGTCTGGCGAGCCGGTTTTTGCCGCCAGCTCACTGATTTGCTGCGGCAGGCGGCGAACCGGCCCGAATAATTATCCAATGCAGCGGAGCACGGTGCCAAGCCTTCATTTGGCCGCGTGGGGTAGCTCTGAGGAATGTATGTAATTACTCTACAGAGGCGACGGTGGCGGTAGGGGTATCCCGGCCTGCCGACAAACCCGTCAGCGGGGTTCTGGGAACGCTCGCCGGCGAGCCGTGGGCTGCCCGACTCGCCCACCGACGAAGTCTGGGACTGCCCGGCTCGCTTGCCGACAAAATCTCGAACCTCACGGCTCACCAGACGGCAAAGTTCGGGGCTGCCATCTCGCACGCTGGCAAAATCCCCAGCCTGCGCGGCTCATTCAGCACTCTATCGTCGCCCCCAGGCAGCCCCCGCTTGCCATCGTCGGGAGGACGCTGTGACCCGGTTTTCAGGAGTCGATGCGTCCAACGCAAACAGCGTCTATTCGCGGGCCGGCCTCTGACGTTAGGGTCACTACATATATGATGCCGCCCAACTACCCCCCGTCCTCCCACTGCTAGCTGAGAGTGAGAGGGAGAGAGAAGGAGAGAGAGGGGCAGATAGACAAATGGACAGACAGGGAAAGAGAGAGACAGACAGGCAGACAGATGGACAGACAGGGAAAGAGAGAGACAGAGGTAGGCAGACTGACAAATAGAGGCCAGAGAGAGAGAGAGAGAGAGAGAGAGAGAGAGAGGAAGACAGACAGACAGACAGACTATACAGAAGGTAGGACAACAACGGCACCTTGCTGTTTGTGCTACATTTGGTTTAATACCTACCAGTAAAACGCCTTTTGGGCGAAGAACGAGCGAGCGAGATAGTGAGCCCTGCACGTGCGGAAGGGCGAGAGGGTACTTCTAACGGGCTTGTGCAAAGCACCCTTCTAACCGGTCGCTAGTGGTGTGCCAAATTTGAACGCAATCGGCCCAGCCGTTCCTGAGATCTGGAAGCGGCATTCTGCACGTGCGCACGTGCAAACGGGGTCCAAACTGACTTTTGCACGGCACCCTACTAACCGGTCCCCAACCGTGTACCAAATTTGAGCGCAATCAGCCCAGCCGTTCTCGAGATCTGGAAACGCCCCCTGCACGTGCGCACGTGCGGTAGCACCCTAGCCGCTACGGGGGACCATCAAAGCGTCCAAAACCGCAGCATCCAAAGTACGCAACATCCAAAACCGCAGCGTCCAAAGTACGCAACGTCCAAAATACGTCCAAAATCGGGTATATAGGGAGCATTCACAACGTCCAAAACCGAAACATCCAAAACCGAAACGGGTCCGTATCAAAGCGTCCAAAACCGCAGCACCCAAAGTACGCAACATCCAAAACCGCAGCGTCCAAAGTACGCAACGTCCAAAATACGTCCAAAATCGGGTTCATAGGGGGCATTCACAAAGTCCAAAACCGAAACATCCAAAACCGCAACGTCCAAAAACGTATCATCCAAAAAACGCAACATCCAAAGACGTAACATCCAAAGTACGTAACCTCCAAAACCACAACGTCCAAGACCACGACATCCAAGGCACGCAGCATCCAAAACCAACCTAACCTAACTTTACCTAACCTAACCTAACCTAACCTAACCTACTGATTTTTGCCTATCCCTAACCTAACCTAACCTAACCTAACCTAACCTAACCTAACCTACTGATTTTTGCCTACCGGGGATAAGGAAACCTAACCTAACCTAACCTAACCTAACCTAACCTACTGATTTATGCCTACCGGGGATAAGGAAACCTAACCAAACCTAACCTAACCTAACCTAACCTAGCCTAACCTAACCTAACCAAACGGTTTTGGATGTTGCGTACTTTGGATGTTGCGTACTTTGGATGTTGCGTACTTTGGATGATGCGTCCTTGGATGATACGTTTTGGATGTTGCGGTTTTGGATGTTTCGGTTTTGGACGTTGTGAATGCTCCCTATATACCCGATTTTGGACGTATTTTGGACGTTGCGTACTTTGGACGCTGCGGTTTTGGATGTTGCGTACTTTGGATGCTGCGGTTTTGGACGCTTTGATGGTCCCCCAACCGAAACATCCAAAACGTACCATCTAAAAACGCAACATCCAAGGACGCATCATCCAAAGTACGCAACATCCAAAGTACGCAACATCCAAAGTACGTAACATCCAAAGTACGCAACATCCAAAACCGTTAGGTTAGGTTAGGTTAGGCTAGGTTAGGTTAGGTTAGGTTTCCTTATGCCTGGTAGGCATAAATCAGTAGGTTGGGTTAGGTTAGGTTAGGTTAGGTTAGGTTAGGTTAGGTTAGGAGGTTAGGTTAGGTTAGGTTAGGTTAGGTTAGGTTAGGTTAGGTTGGGTTTCCTTATCCCCGGTAGGCAAAAATCAGTAGGTTAGGTTAGGTTAGGTTGGGTTAGGGATAGGCAAAAATCAGTAGGTTAGGTTAGGCTCGGTTAGGTTAGGTTAGGTTAGGTTAGGTTAGGTTGGTTTTGGATGTTGCGTGCCTTGGATGTCGTGGTCTTGGACGTTGTGGTTTTGGAGGTTACGTACTTTGGATGTTGCGTCTTTGGATGTTGCGTTTTTTGGATGATACGTTTTGGACGGTGCGGTTTTGGATGTTTCGGTTTTTGACTTTGTGAATGTCCCCTATAAGCCCGATTTTGGACGTATTTTGGACGTTGCGTACTTTGGACGCTGCGGTTTTGGATGTTGCGTACTTTGGATGCTGCGGTTTTGGACGCTTTGATAAGCCGCTACACATGGGAATGCATTGCCTGGTGGGTGCCAACCTGTATGCCAAGTTTCAGCGAAATCGCCCCAGTAATTACCGAGTTATTAAAATGGGAACAAATTTGACACCTCTCATTGTTGTATTTTGCACGTGCACTGGGGGTGACCCACATGCATCGGCAGTATCCTATTTTTGGTAGAAGGGATGCTACTACCCTACAAAAATTACCGCAAGTCAATCGCCCAAGCGGCTGCTGAGATATGAGCCTCTCAAAATCACTACTTTTGCAAAACAGCTTGAACACCCTTGACTTTTCACGTGGCACGTGCCACGACGGTCACTGAGGTGTATCAAAAGTAGTCAATTACGGGGTAGAAGGGATGGGGCTACCCAGCAAAAAAGACCGCAGGCCAATCGGTCCAGCGGTTGCTGAGATATAAGCCTCTCAAAAGCGTTACAGGCCGGGCCGGGCCGGGCCGGGCCGGGCCGGGCCGGGCCGGGCCGCTCATACTGAGATTTTTCCGTTATATTGAAAAGACTCGCTTCGCTCGCTGCGCTCGCTCGCTCGTAATTACCTACCGTAGATAAATTACACCTCAAGCTATTACAAACTCGTCACAAGTCCTTTTGGGTTTACATAAGACCTGCGGTGCTCTGTAAGTGTAAACACCAGATGCTTTTCCACTCATCAAAAGTAGGCATTTTAGTTATTCTACAAACGGTTGATTAATGTAAGACGGAATCGAATATATTTTTGGACCGTCTAGGGTTTCACTTATGATGTCATTGACCAGTGAGCTGACTTGACCTGACCATGCCGCTGACCTCATAAGATTCGGCTTGAATCAAAGGTCAGGTAGGTACGCGAACTTTCAGCGAGCTTCGCAATCGCGTTCCGATCAATCGAGAGAAATCGTCGGGGATGGCACCAGTCGAGTCTTCCTTCCTTCGTCGAGTCTTCCTTCCTTCCCTCCCCGTTGGCCGTTCCCCTTCGACCGGGGAGGTTTAATTTCGAGCCATGACATTGTTGGATAACTGGCAGTTCCAGGGCTATGGAAATTCACACATTACCGCGTCAAAGTTAACTCTACATAATTATGTGCATGGGATCGGGATATGGTACGGGCTACGACCTGCAATCCGCAGACCGGCTAGATTTGCAATCCGCTTGGTGCCGGAGCGGGCTGGCCCAGTCCAGTTACCTGCACGGTCCGCACCGCGGGCCGTCACCGGGCGATCCCATCACCCTGCTGAACATTCGGGGTACAACCGGGACAACGCGGGCGGCGTGGTAGGCGGCACGGGGGCTGTAGCGTTATCCGATGTTTCAGAGAAAGTCGCTCAGTGATGTTGAAAGGTCGAATCTCACGTGCAGCCGCCCCCGGATCGGACCGTGAGACGGGCGTCAAGTTGGTAGTCTGATGGCTGTTGCAAGGACAGGATCTGGGAATGCTGATCGTCTAGAATACCTACTTGCATACATTATACAACCAGTCCAAGAGAATGTCCAGTTCTCTATATACCCACCATGGAATATCCAAGCCACCCGGCACCCAAGAGGGGCTGAGCTGGCTGAGGTCTTTAATTACACCCGATGGCATGCGGATCTACATGCCATGAAGTTTCGGTGGAAAGCTAACCAAAATAATTAATTTCTTGTCATCAAATATCAATGTGTGATAACTGATACCCCAACTGCATTCGCTAGACATTGCTATAGCAAGTGACACAACGTGCGCTATGTCTTAACCTAAAGGAGTGAAGACAAGCCAATATGCAGGCGAACAGGGCCACTGCTGAATAGTCTCGGATGGAATGGTGGTAACGAGTGAGAAGCCGTCTAATAATGCCCTCGTCCCCGGCAATTAAGATCAGCGACATCATGCATGATGCAGAGGGCTGCATTTGTGCAGAAATAAGCGAAACACTGTA